CTCAGAGCAACTATTGTTCTCCACCCTGAATGAAGCAAATTGGTAAGCTCTTCAGATGAACTGAACTGCAAACATAATATTGAAAAAAATTATTGCAGGAATGATTTTACTGAATCAGATAGTGACAAAGTATTAATTGATATGAATCTTCTGTGTTACCATAATTTTCTGTAAATTGTTTTTATTTGCTTTTGATGTTGTATAATGCCCAGAATATTTTTAATATGGGTGGCTTTGTGATCTAATAAAATATAATCAAATAAATGGGGGGGGAACAGTTCAGGGTTCAGATAGTAGGCCCAATTCTATGACTAAATGTGTACTTTGAACACCATTAATACAATTCAGAAATTAATTTATGATGCACAAGTGGATGGGATTTTAATGCTGAATGTTGAATGATTACACACATGATAGGTACTTTACCTCCTGTATGATAACTTCTATAGGTCCTTCATCAGATTGTACATAATAATGAAGACCATAATCGTCATCAATAGAAATGCAAATTTCTTTTCACAAAGTGAAAGAAGGCTAAAACATATGAATGGTTGTAGAAATTGGGTATATCTAATTTAATGAAAAGAAGGACTAAGGGTGACATAATAGCAGTGTTCCAATATCTAAGGAGCTGCCACAAACAAGAAGGGGGGGTCAACTTATTCTCCAAAACACTTGAAGCAGGACAAGAAGCAATAGATGGAGACTAATCAAGGGGAGAATCAATTTAGAACCAAGGAGAAATTTCTTGACAGTTAGAACAATTAATCAGTGGAATGACTTGCCTCCAGAAGTTGTGAATGCTCCAACACTGGAAGTTTTTAAGAAGAGATTGGACAACAATTTGTCTGAAATGGTATAGGGCAGGGGTGTCAAACTGGCAGCTTGCGGGTTGGATCCATCACACGCAGGCCACGCCCACCCCACCTTTGCAAAGTCACGATACTTCACGATACATCATGTGACATGACCCAGTTTGACAGCCGTGGTATAAGGTTTCCTGCCTGAGCAAGGGATTGGGCGAGAAGACCTCCAAACTCCCTTTCAACTCTGTAATTCTGTTAATTTCAGGATGGTGGATTGCCATAGCACACCCCAAAAGGGGTGGGAATGCAACCCCTTTATACAGACTTATGCAAATTGAAGTGTATATGTAATTAATGAGATCAGAGGTACTGATGTAATGAAGATGAGACTACAAAGCCAATTGTGTTATTAAAAATGCAGAGGCTGTGGGAGACTTCTGGTTTTGTACCATAGCGCATGGCTGAGGGATTGCAGAGCTCCACACCCCACAGCTAGTTTTGCCCTGCCAAGTGACCCTGAATAGGTCTAAAGTAACCCCTGAGAGGCGACAAAGGAAGAGGGGTGCCCCAATGATAGTGGAACGATGGCGGTTGTCCCGCTCGATCCGGGGGAAGTAACCCAACAGGAGAAAAGTTGGCCACAGCTCGGTGACCATCCCAAGCTACTTGCAGCTGAAGTCTAAAGGAACTAACCAGAACAATGGTGAACAGTGTGTTTGAAACTGGGTGACGAATTCGATCTTCTCTCTCCTATTTTGTATCTGATTTCCTGGAAAAGATCCACAAGAAGCAAAAATCCTCCCAAAGTGAGAAGGGAGGGAACTACACCCCCATCGTCCCATAGATGGAAGTGGCGAATTAAATTCTTATGGAGAACAAAAATATATTGAAATGAGGTTAAAAATACTACATTTTGGACAAATTTGAAAACTAAGAAAACTGTTAAAATTCTATACCTGAAAAAGTATTGATGAAATTATAAAATAATAATAATAACTCTTTGCTTTAATAATTGGAAAATGAACAGCTACTGACACCTAGTGGAGGACTAGAGAAAACTATAGCGGCATTGACTCAGAATTTGGCAAAAAACAGCTGGGAACAAAGCATTGGGCTATCTAACACAGAGTGAAACTATATATGTTTAGAAACTGTTGATCTTCTGGAATTATAAACACACTGAGCTGCATTTTTAAGTTTAAGAACTGTTTGCAGAGAAAGAAAAACATTGGCCTTTGGCTAATCTTCTAAAGGGGAAGTTACTGAAAGCTTTCAAGTGGTTAAACACTTTGGACTGAAATCTTGGCTGGCTGATAATCATAAGATCCCTGAAAAAAAAAAAAAGATCTGTTACAAAACACTGCTTTCAGTGGTGCTTTGATAATTGGAATGTATTAAATTACAAAAACCATATATAAAGATAAGAACTACACAAGATTTGGTTGTTTGGATTTTAAGATGGGCTGGTTTAATAAAGCTAATTAAAGAGATTACAGCACCGGTGAAAGACTACCTAGAGGAGGGAGACAAAATGGATGTTGTATATCTATCTAAAAGTGACAGAAAACCACACCTAACACCTCCTCCTGAAGACCCCAGTGTGGAACATCAGAGATCTGCAGGAATAATGACTCAAGACAAAGCAAATACATTCCAGGAGAAAATATATGCAATGCTGCGACAGATTCAAATAACAATTGTCTTAAATCATGATGAGATTAAAAACAACTTTGATAACATAAATGAACATATCTCTAACCTAAACTCACAATTAAACAACACTCAAAAAATGATGATAAAAAATGAACAAATAAATCAGACAATAGAACATAAAGCAGAGGAAAATGACTTAAATATGAAAGCTACAATTGAAGATAACTACAACTTAACACAAACAAAAGAAAATCTGCAAAATTTTGCTACAACGAAGGAAATAAAAAAGATGTTTTATCTTCCAGGATTTCAAAACAAACTTGAGGACAAAAAAACGATGATTTAATAAAATGGATTGAAGAGTTGTCAGGAGAATCATTAAAGCATGGGAGACAAAAAAACAAATATTCTACTCAATTTGTCTTTTTTATCGCCAACAGTATCTGCAAAAATACAACCTGGAAAGCTAAACCTACTGATTTGGAAAGCGACTTGGCAAAAGAAGATTAGAACTAGATTTAAGAGATGTGATTCAACGTACCAGATGGAATACTATATAACTAAACACCTGTTTGAATACTGTTAAAAAATATAAAATTTGGATATAAAGAGGCCGTAGAGTAGGTATGTCAAACTGACAGCCCGCAGGCCGGATGCATCACGTTGAAACCACATCCACTCCATTGCCGGCAATGGGGAAAATGTCCTGATACATTGCGCGATGTCACATGATGTCGCAAGTTTGACATGCCTGCCCTATAGTAAGATTGCTAGATGGTGTATTATATGATTAAATACTTGTTTGAACATGGTCAAAAGAATAGATAAAGTTTGGATATAAAGGGGACCAATAGTAAGAGGGATAAGATATATAAGTAGTATAATATTTTTATAATATATGAAATGTAAAAATATTGAGATGGTGTATTTGAATGAAAAGTTTGGATATTCAAAGGTAATGAATTTTGAGAAAATTATGATTGATAACAGTGGTTTCAATACTGAGGGGAAATAAAGCTTAAATAAGATCTTGAAAACAGGACATATAATGACTTAATAAGATTACTTTTATAAATACAATTGAAATATAAGCTGATTAGAAAAGATGTTATATTTTGATGTTATTGTTATATGTATAAATACTAGAAAAATGTTTATACCCAACTCTATATGTATTGAAAGTATTAAGAATTATATTTCTTTAATGTAGACAAAAGAGAATATTGTTGGAAGAAGAGAGGATCAAAGAAATATATTATCAACTAACATATTGATCAACTATAGAAATTAATTATTATTTTTAAATATATGAACCCAGACAATACATTATTCACTAAGTACTAAAGATCATTATTGTAAAATATTAATAAAATATATTTAAAAATGCAGAAGCTGTGTATTAGAATAGCCATTGCTGTTAAATTTTTATTTATAAGTGTACCTCCCTTGGTCTTGTTTTCTGGAGCATTCCTCAATTTCAAACATCACTTCTGTTATCAACATTCCTTTGCCTTCTAAGCATTTTTATGGCTGCACTGGTATTTTTACTGCTTTCCAAGAGACCCAAGAAAGATAAAGGGGAGATTGAGAGTGATCTGTTTAGCCTAGCTAATACCACATTTTCCATTTTGTATTCCCAGCCATTGTGCAATGGGAAATGAAACAATTGAATAGTATCATCTATGCAACTAAGTAGCACTGATGTTAAATACATTAATATAAGCAATTAGGTTTCACATTTTGATGCACTAAAATGAATGGCTAGGTTGTGGCCCAGTCTATTTATTTTAGAGCAGTTTGGTTAATTCAGTAAATCATGATTGCAATGTCTCTGAATTATGGTCATTGGCCAATGCTGCATATATAACATTCCCTTATATTTTACATTAATTAATCTGGGAAAACAACCATTGCCTAATTTGTTCTTACCAGAAAAAAATGAATCAACAATACAGTATTATTTTACCTATCCAAAAGTGGGCAACCTTCTGGATATTGTTGGATTCTAATGCCCCTAATCTTTTAATCAATGTCAGCTGCACTCTTTATTATATTTAAAACTACCTGAAAGGACAGTATTAGCCACCTGATTTATCTCTCTCTGCCTCCTTGTTTTGTTTACTACCAAGGGGGCATAATACTACTATTAAAAAGATTGCTTTTTATCCCTGTTTTGACTAATAAAGATATTGCCCCAGTTGTTTTGGGAATGAATATGTATTAATAATTTTAAAGTCATAGCTATGCTTATGCTTAGAATTTTAGTATTTACTCTTTCTCTGCAGGTAGTCATTCCAGGCAAGTTGAGTTGTGAAATGGTGATAGCATGTTGATGTCTAGAAAGAGTAAATAAAAATTTAGACAGACATTAGCTATCCCAGTTAATGGTCTAACATTTTCTATGAGGAAAAATGATGTGGATAATTGTTTCCCATCGCATTTATTACGAATCTAATAAACTGTGAATCTCTTTCCAACAGTATCATCAAACTAGTTTCCAGAAAGATATTTCTCTAAATATAAAGGGCACGTGACAATTTGTAAATTTTATTAAATTTGTTTAAAGCAGTTAAACTTTAAATGTGTCCACAGAATCAGTATAAGTTGAAGTAGACTTGACTATGTTTTAAGCGACATCTTTTACTGTAAATTAGTTCTTGAGGTATATGTATATCCAGGGGTTTTTTTTTGTTATAGAACGTCCAGAACGGAGTTCCAGCACTTTTTTTGGATGGAACCTTGTAGGGTAGGCAAGGCGGATTGTATAACGTGTGAGTTCCGGCACTTTTTTTTTTTTTTACAAAAAATACCACTGTATATCCCATGAAATAAATCCGATTTTTTTACCTGGTTTGCAACACAATTAACAGGGGATTTGTAGCCAAAGCCAAACAGATAAAACTTTGGGGGGGGAAAGCGTAAGCCAGGGGAGTCCTAGCGGTGAAGAAGAGGCCGAATGAGAAAGGCGGCAATGAATGAAAACCCCAAGGGGAGGAGATTCAGAGGCCAGGGGCGCAGGCGAGGTGGGGCTAAGTGTTGCGTACGCGGTTGGCGACTTTTGTGAGGCAGCGGCGGCAGCGAATAGGGTGGTTGGTGTGCGTGAAATGGGAAGGTGGCGACACTGGGAGATTGCGACGCCCTCAGCAGCAGTAGCGTCTTCGTATTCATGGAGATTTTTCCTCCTCCTTTTCTGTATTTCTCTGCCTTTCCTAAGGTGGTGGTGGCGGCGGCGGCAGCAGCAGCGGAAGTGACGGTCAGTGTGGGGTGCTTGTCGTTGGGGGAAGATGCCGACTGTGGCTGTGCTAGGCAAACCAGAAGGTAAACAACTGTGACAGGGAAGGGAGAGGCAGGGATTCTGGGAGGGGGACGAAGCAGCAGGGCCCGGCAAAAGCCAGTGCCCGGACATTACCGCCGAAAGAGGCCTTTCTCACGAACGCGTTGACGAAGATATATCCTGGGCGCAACACCTCAGTTGCCATGTCCAGCTACTTCAGCCCGACTGTGAGACTCTCCTCCTCCTCCTCCTCCTCCTCCTCCTCTATCGTTATGTCCCCCAAAGACCGCCCCTCTTCGTAGGGTCAGCGGGAAGATCTGCATCTTCAGCGCTGCTGAGAGGTATGTGAAGCTGGGAGCGGGGCGTTTTTCTCGCTCGTTGCTCTCCCTGCTCCTGGCCTCCTCTTTGCTGCTTTTTGAGCGTTACTTGGGTTGTACTTTTCCTTTGGATCCTTCTCGGATAAAGCTTTCCTACTTCCTCTCACTCTTTTGCTACCATGTTTGACCCAAAATGAACGTTTAAGCTAGGCCTTTTTCCTTTTCTCCGAATTCCTAATTTAGAAGGGGCGACTGTTTTATTTTAAGAAGAGAGGAAATCTTCGCTGAAATTTCCAACAGAAAAAGGCTGGAAAGATTTCCTGTTTATAGATGCTACTATCCCACGTTGGGGAAGGGGGTGGGGGAATTTTTTGGCGACTTTTCTTGTTAACTGAGAATATGGATAATGGCGTTAGGAATGAACACAAAACGCATCTTTTATATTCAGATATTTTTACTTTGTTATTGTATTTATTTTCTCTTTTAATTCAGCAAAACAAAAAACAAGGTGGGAAAGCAGGTTAAAGTAAGGGTTCATCTGTGTATTAGTGATTTTCCAGGTAACTCCAGTCTACTGTATCTAAAATTATCCATTTTCTCTGTCTCTGTTTTATTTCTGAGTGAATTGAACTATTTAGCTTTAATTTCAGTTTAGCTTTATCCTGTCCCCTCCCAGCAATATTTTGAAAATGTTTCAAAAGTTATGTTAGTGTGAATTATAGTATCTGACAATACTTTAATCCAGTATCGACAGTCTTTAATCCAGCATTCAAGTAATTGGTATTGTCCTAATTAACTTTGAACTTTTCACATTTTGATCTGGCATAATTGTGTAACTTTCCTTGAACTCGCTTAACTGCCAACCAGTTAAACAGAAAAAGGAAAAATAATTTATTTTGAGTCATTTTTCAAATAATTAAATATTTGTTAGTAGGACACCAATGCATTTTTTTTTAAGAAAAAGAAAATAGCTATAGGGTTAGTCCACAGTTGTTTTTTTCAGTTAGTCTAAATGATTATGAAAATTACATTTTTTTATAATTTTCATTATACAATGAAAATTATAAAAATAGAAATAAGTGTTGGCCTTAAGAATAATAAGGCTATATTTATGGAATAATATGGATGTCTTTTCCCATGACATCACTTCATATGTCATTAGTGATTCCAATATGGAATACAGTGTACATACTTACTTTCAGCCTTCTGTACAAGTAGCCCTTAACTTACAACCGCAATTGGGACCAGAATTTCTGTTAAGGTAGTTGTGAGTTGCGGCCAGTTTTACAACCTCTTTTTGCTATGGTTGTTAAGTGAATCACATGTTTAACTTTTCTTTTGGAAGCTGACTGGGAAGATTGCAGATGGTAATCATATGTCCCTGGGATGCTGCAACCATTGTAAATATATGCTGGTTACCAAGAGCCTGAATTTTGATCACCTGACTGGATGCTGTGACAGTCATAAATGTTAGGATCATTTGTATGCTGTGATAGTCATAAATACGAGGATCAATTTTTAGTGCTGTTATAACTTCAAATGGTAGCTAAACAATGGCTGTAGTCAAGGACTATGGTACATAAATAATTATTTTCTAGAGCAGGCTGTTTTACATTCATAATTAATTGGTTCTAGGCAAAAATGTGGAATGTGTGGGAAAAATAATTCATTGCAGTTGCTATATCATGTTAATTTTTATTTCTAATAATAATGTTAGATTTTTTAAAATTATTCCTAGACATAAACAGTCTGTTGTATGCTGTTATGAGCTTGTTGATTAGTAGAACATGTTCATATTTTGCCGTGCAGTAATTGTATTAGAGAATATTAGAAGCTGAAATCCATACTGGAGAATGCCCAAGTTGGCAAAGACAGTATTAGCACCTGGAAATCTACATGGTCTTAATTTGATTTTTTAACCACAGGGTAGATATAGATATATGTTACTGATTTCAGAAAATCATCATGTTGTACCACTTGAAACTAGGCAACATCTAGACTTAAATATGAAAACAACAGGAATGAGCCTTGGTGCAGTGGTTAGAATGCAGTACTGCAGGCTACTTCTGCTGACTGCCAGCTGCCAGCAGTTCAGTTCAAATCTGACCAGGCTCAAGGTTTGGCTCAGCTTTACATCCTTCCGAGGTTGGTAAAATGAGGACCCAGATTGTTGGGGGCTGAGGGAAGTTAGCCCAGAGAAAGAAATATTAAAAGGGCAGAAAAATATATTTTCCTCAAAAGGACTTTTTAAAACCAAACCTGGCCCCAAATCTATCTCTCTGCCCCAAGCAAGAGCTAGCTCCATACAAATGTAGATGTAAAATCATCAGAGAGTTGAAGCCAGAGCAATTAAGAAGACAAAGAGAAGATCTGCATGCCCCACCCAAACTCTAGGAGTCATTAGCCCCATCACTTGGGAAGCAGGATATGATAATAGGATTAAACCACAGATATCAAGGCCTAGAAAAACACTCAGAAATAGCCTCAAGGTTCATGCCACAGGAACAAGAAACTATTCCAAACAAGGCTAGAGAGGGTATAAAAACCTACTGCCCATGTGCTCAACTCCTCTTTCCTCTCCTCTGCTCTTTCTTACAAGGACCATCTTTCTGCTTCTTCAATAAACTGTAACCTTCTTCTCAAAGCAGTCGCCATGTTGCTTATTTATTCCCGGCTTGGATGAACCAGGATAAAGACTTACTTCTGACAATTTGGCACCCCAGAGATGGGACTCCAAGCTAACCTCTCCAATGGACTAAGACTGGTAAGCCCCATCTTGCCGGCAGCAGACCCCCATGTGTCTGTGGATGGGTTTCCCAGGCCTTGCCCATGTGGAGCTAGGGTTGTAAAGGGAGTTTTGAGAGTTTGAGCTCAAGGGCTACTTTGGAAAGAAGGTGAAGGTGAGTACCTCTAAATTTTAAGTTTAAAGCCCAGGGGAACAAAGAAATGTGTGTATTTCTGTTTGTGTGAGTGAGAAGACCTTTTTTTTCCCAATCACAGTTGGATTTTGCTCCTTCTGGTCTTTCCTAGCCGCAGAAAGGATCTGTTTAATTGGCAGAACCTGGAAAGAATGGGGGTTTGGTCAGAGCACAGAACCTTTTGTTAGGGAAAAGGGAGAGGCTGTGTGAAAATGAAATGGAATGAGTGAATGAAAGAATTGGATTTGGGCAACTAGCTGATAAGGCCCTGTAAGCAAAGCAAAGTTAGGAAATTAAGCCTCTGGCTAGGAGCGACCACTTACCTCTGAGAGCAAGCAGAGGTCCTTGCGGACATTGGAGGTCCGTAAACAGTGGTGTGAAGCTGGCCGGTCGAAGAGTAGCCCGTACCTTCTGAGGGGAAAACCAGAAGTGTCTCTGCAGACCCTTTTTTGGTCTGAAAACGTGGTGGATCCCTCAAAGAGCCCATGTACTCTGAGAGGGATCCAGAGTGCTCCGTGAGTCCCCTTTTTGGACCCACAAAACCGTGGTGGTAGGAAGAAGTCTCACAAGGAGGCTTCCGGTGTATAGTGCCATTTAGCGTTAGAGGAAGTTTCCAGTTCAAGGGCTAAGGTAGGTTTCCCAGTTGAGAGCTTGCTTGAAGCCTGGGACAGGAATCAGCTTCCTGTCCAGGCTGGAATGAAAAAGAGATAGGTAAAAATAGACTTTGCTTAGGGCTTTGCTGCGAAACCAATTTGGCTAAATAAAGGTACTTAAAAGGGAAAATAAGAAATAGTGATTCTCTCTCTCTCTATCTCGCTCTCTCTCTTCTCTATGCAACCACGTGGTATGTTTAAAATGTGTCCCTTCCCTAACTTGAGTTATCTGAAATTTATACTGGGAATGACTAGGATATGTAAAACTAAGACTTGTTTCCTTTTCTGTTCTCTTGTCTTTGTGTATATATGTTTATCAAAGTCTCTGTGTGAGAAGTAAATGTGACTGTTAACTGTTTCAAATCCAAGGAAAAAAGAATTTTAAATTCTGCTAGAAATTCTGCTTAAAATAAGCCACAAAAAGGAAATACCTCACTCTATTTGTCTGGCCAACAAACAGTGAAGAAAAAAAAATTGTTTGTTTGTTTGTTTTCCTCTTTCTCTCTGTGTACTCTCAAGAACAGCCTTAAGTTAGCAGGAGGGAATGTTTTAAGTTCATCTGCTAGAAAGATTTCACTCTTGCATTTAATAATATATAATAAAGTTGGAAGGGACTTTGGAGGTCATCTAGTCCAACCCCCTGCTCAGGCAGGAAACCTTATACCAGTGGTTCTCAACCTGTGGGTCGAGACCCCATTTGGGGGCGAACGACCATTTCACGGGGGGGTCGCCAAACAACGCAGTCCGCCATTTTTTCCCCCTTTTCCTTAGCTGTGCTACTCCCTTTTATTTTATTGGCTTTTGAAAGCCAATAGAATAGACTCTTGAATAGAGTCTAATTCTATTGGCTTTCAAAAGCCAATAGGAATTGTCTAGGCTGTCTCTGCCCTGCTGAGCCCGCCAAAAGTCCCATTCTGCAAACAGTGCTGCACCAGTTGAGTAGTCCTCGACTTACGACCAGTTGAGTAGTCCTCGACTTATGACCAGTTGGGGGGTCGCGGCATTAAAAAGGTTGAGAACCACTGCCCTATACGAACTTTATCAAATGCCTTACTGTAGTCCAAGAAAATTATATCCACACCATTCCTCTAGTCCACTAATTTTGTAACTGGGTCAAAGAATGCAGTAAGATGTGTCTAGCATGATCTATTTTTGACAAACCCATGTTGGCTTTTAGTAATGACTGCCTCTAGGTGTTCACGGATTCTTGTTTGATTGTCTTTTCCAGAATCTTCCCAGGTATTGAGGTCAAGCTGATAGGTCTGTTGTTTCCTAGATCTATTTTTATTTTTGAAGAGGGGAACTACATTAGCTCTTTTCCAGTTCTCTGGTAGTTACCTAGCGCTCCAGGGTCTTTGAAAAATATAGTTCAGTGGTTCTGAGATCACATCTGTCAGTTCCTTGAGAACTTTGGGGTGTAATCCATCTGGCCCTGATGATTTGAACTCTTCTA